GGTAGGAGTCTGGCTGTTCTGTCTGTCAGGGTTACCTGAACCACATGGTGAATTGCAAATTCCAATATTTGAATTTTAACCATGTGTTCAGCTGCTTATCTGCAGTGTTCCTATAAGAAAAATGAGTTTGATGATTGGTCTATTGTTTTCAAGACCAGTGGTTCTCAACCCTTTTGAGACCAGGGCCCAGTAAATTATTTCAAAATCTTCCATGCCTCAGCAGTAAAGAATAAAAGGTATACTCACACAATAAAAGTATGGGAATGCAAAATATGTACTGAAGTACTAGAAGGCCCTGGATGGGGCTGGATGTCACTGTGGAGGCATGGGGGTTGTGGAGTGGGTTAGGGGACTTTTGAGCAGACTTGGTGGCCCTGTAGAGGAGATGGTTTCTGGGGGAGGAGGTTGTGGGACTCTGTTGGAGGCTGAGTCACTATGGTGGGGTGGAGGCTCTGCAGCAAGCTGGTCGGGCACTGTGAGGGATGAAGGTTCTGGAGGGGGTTAGAGGACCTTGCAGCAAATTTGGTGGCTCTCTAGGGGATGAGGTTTTGGAGTCGGCTGGAAGGGACATTGTAGAAGTTTGGAGGTCCCTGTGTTGGATGTTGAGGGCACTATTGAGGGCTGGAGGCTCTGCAGCAGGCTGGGGGGCACGGTGGAGGCTGAGGACTTTCATGGGGCCTGGGGACACAGTGGGCTACAATGGGGGGTTTAGGGGGCACTATGCAGAGCTGGGAGGCACTGTGGGAGGCTGGGGGCACTATGGAAGCTGAGGGGTCTCATGAGGCCTGGGTACTGTGGGCCACTATGGGAGGTAGGGGGACACTATAGGAACTGGGAGGCTCTAGTGTTTGGGGACACTATGAAACTTAGGGCTGTTATAGGGCCTGAGGGGACTGTAGGCCACTATGGGGGCTGGGAGGCACTGTCAGATGCTGGGTGCGCTATGACAACTGAGGGCTCTATTGCCGCCCAAAGGCACTGTGGGCCACTTTGAGAGGTTGGTGGACTCTACAGGAGCTGGGAAGCACTCTGGGATGTTGGGGGGCACTGTGGAAACTGAGGGCTCTCATGGGGCCTGGGAGCACTGTGAGAGACTATGGAAGGTAGGGGACACTAAAGGAGCTGGAAGGCACAGCAGGATGTTGTGGGACAATATGAAAGCTGAGGGCTCACATGGGGCCTGGGAGCACTGTGGGCCACTATGAGAGGATGGGGGACACTGTAGGAGCTGGGAGGCGCTGTGGGATGTGGGGGAGCATTATGGAAACTGAGGGCTCATATGGGGCCTGGGGGCACTATGAGTCACTATAGAAGGTTGGAGGACCCTATAGGAGCTGGGAGGCACCCTGGAATGTTGGGGGATACTATGGAAGCTGAGGGCTCTCATGGGGCCCGTAGGCTCTGTGGGTCACTATGAGAGGTTGAAGAACACTATAGGAGCTGGGAGGCACCGTGGGAAGTTGAGGGGCACTGTGGGAGTCTGGGGGACACTATAGAAGCTGACGGGTGTCATGGGGCCAGGGGTCACTGTGGGCCACTATGGGAGGTAGGTGGGACACTATAGGAGCTGGGAAGGCACTGTTGGATGTTAGGGGCACTATGGGGACTGAGGGCACTGTGGGCCACTATGAGAGGTTGGTGGACTTTATAGGAGCTGGGAAGCACTGTGGGATGTTGTGGGGCACCATGGAAACTGAAGGCTCTCATAGGGCTTGGGGGCACTGTGGGTCACTATGGGAGGCAGAGGACATTATAGGAACTGGGAGGCATCGTAGAATGGTGGGGTAAACTATGGAAGCTGAGGGCTCTCATGGGGCCTGGGGGCACTATGGGCCACTATGAGAGTTTGGAAGACACTATAGGAGCTGGGACACACTGTGGGAAGTTAAGGGGCACTGTGGAGACTGAAGGCTCTCGGGAGGCCTGGGGGCACTGTGGGCCACTATTGGAGGTTGGTCGACACTAAGAGACCTGGGAGGCAATCTTGAAGGTTAAGGGTTCTGCAGCTGGCGGGAAAGGGCCGGCAGCGGCCCAGCAATGGTCCAAGGCCCGGTGTTTGAGAACCACTGTTTTAGACGTCCCTGAAATGAACACGTCCTCATGATAATAACCAGGAAATGAACAATTACTTCATCAGCTTCTGTGTACCTTATGGAATTCTATATCCCATAAAAAAAAAAAAAACAATGTATCCAACTCCGTGGAACATCCGCGTTCCGCCTTACACAAACTTTGTTCCAGATGTGATAATAATCTCCCTCTGTAATCTATCCACAAAATATCTCATTTGAGCGGGATGAAAGAGACGAAATAAAAGACGTTCTCATAAGAAAACATACACGGGGTCACATGGCCAGGAAACGGCCACCTACGCACCGCCATTAAAAAAAATCAAGATTATCCGATTATCAGATAATAAATGTTGTGGTGAAACAAGAGGGAAAATAAACCAAAGGCAGCCGGCGCTTTATTCGCTTTGATCATACAAAATGTTTGTTTCTTCGTAAACAGTCACTAAGTATACGAGTTGTGTTATGTAAGATTTGATCAACACTGATGGGAATACAGGAACGCTTTCAGCGTGGCATAGATTTAAAGCAAAACTCCAGGCAGTGGCGTCCCGAGGCAAGTGCGGGGGGTGCGCGCCGCACCAGGTGACACCTACCGCACGGGGTGACACCGGACCCGCTCCACGAAAAGGTAAGTTGTAAAGCAAGCCAACGATCCCTGGATGGATCAGATCTGCGGATTGAGCATAATGGACTGTACTACGATCCATTATGCTCCCCAATCCGCAGATCTGATCCATCCTGCGGGGATCGTCGGCTTGCTTTACAACTTACCTTTTCGTGGAAGCGGGTCCGGTGTCACCCCATATAGGTTGCATGCCGACGTTCCCCGCAGGATGGATGGGATCTGTGGATTGGGAAGGATAATGGATCAGACTCTGATCCAGTATGCTCAATCCGCAGATCCGATCCATCCTGCGGGGATCGTCGGCTTGCTTTACAACTTACCTTTTCGTGCAGCGGTCCGGTGTCACCCTGTATAGGTTGCATGCTGATGATCCCCGCAGGATGGATTGGATCTGTGGATTGGGGAGGATAATGGATTGGACTCCGATCCATTATGCTCAATCTGCAGATCTGATCCATTCTGCTGGGATCGTCGGAGGGGGTGTCACCGAGTGTTATCGCACCGGGTGACACCAACCCTAGGGACGCCTCTGACTCCAGGCACAAACACTTTCATTTAAATACATTCCTCAATAGCCACAAAGGATATAAATGCACTAAATTCCTCTAAGTGGTTAGCACTTCCGCCTGGCAGTACTAGGGGTCGCCGGTTCAAATCCCAACCACGGCACCACCTGCCTGGAGTTTGCATGTTCTCCCTGTACCTGTGTGGGTTTCCTCCGGGTACTCCGGTTTCCTCCCACACTCCAAAGACATGCTGGTAGGTTAATTGGCTCCTGTCTATATTGTCCCTAGTATGTGTATGTATGAATGTGAGTTAGGGACGGGCGGACTGACCATTCGAGCACTCGAGCACTGCCCAAGGGCCCAGGGTCTGTAGGGGGCCCCATAAGATGCCCTTGATACTTTTCACAGGCTTTTTTGGGTGTGGTTTGAGTGTTGGCAAGGACACAGGGGCCCCATAATTTCCTATTGCCCGGGGGCCCCATGAGTTGTCAATACACCCCTGGTTAGGGACCTTAGATTGTACACCCCTTGAAGGTTAGGGACTGATGTGAATGTACAATATATATGTATCTCCTAGATTGTAAGCTCGAAAGAGTAGGGCCCTCTAACCCCTTGTGTGCTGTTTGTTGTTACTGTACTGTTTCGTGTATTGTTCCCCCCCCCCTCTATTGTACAGCGCTGAGCAAACCCTTTGGCGCTATATAAACTCGATATAATAATAATAATAAAGCGCTAAATAATAAAAATAAATAAATTCCTTTGCAAACCCAGATATTACCTTGTAAAGTTAGTCGTGACCTCATCACTGTGCTGTACATAACTTTTGCAGAGAGCAGAGCAGTGGGAGGGACACAGCGGGCTCCACCCACTACAGGCTGTCTGCATAGAACTATAGGAGGGGGTGGAGAAAAGACCAGTCACCTTGCGCTTGAGAGAGAGCAGCAGAGACCCATCTTTATCACCCCAGGTTCACACCGAAGCGTTTTCCGCAACGTTTTACAGAAATGCAGTACAGTCCATTTAAAATGATTTCCTATGGGACAGGTTCACATCTCCGCGTTTTCACCCGGTGCGTTTTCTGGAAAGGGTCAGGGACGTTTTTGAGTGCAAAAAGTAGGCCTATAGACTTCAATGTAAACGGTGCAGAAAAGCATTTAGTGCATTTTTGCTGCGTTTTTTTCCTGCGTTTTAAATCTGCTCAGCAACAAGGAAAAAAAAAGAAAAGCAAAATGCATCAAAAACGCATCAAAACTGCAAAACGCAGTGCAAAATGCAATGCAGACACGGCTCAAACGCAACCTGTATAGGTGTGAACCTCGCCTTATAGAGACCATAGATGAACACATCAGACTGGCCTGGAGTGGGAGACGATCTGAAGACTTTTGTGATTGCAGTAAGACACGAATCTCCCTCTCCAATCCATAAATCTCTATATTTAATACAACAACCAACATACAGAGCAGCGAACAATAAAAAGTCGTAAGATGCACCCACTAAATTACTAATTAAACTCTCCTTTTTGATCAAAAAATGTCCCAAATCTTAACTTGCGCTCAACACTATTCTGTTTCCCGAGATTTTCGCAGAATTCAAACATCATTAACTGCATGAAAGGTGATTTTTCCACTGCTAATTGCTCGGCAACATCAGCAGGTTTGTAAAAGTGAGAATCAGTTGCTACACGATTACCTACGATTCTGTGACACTCCAACGTGCCTTTACATGTGAAAGAATCATCAGCAAGTCGGCTGACAGCGGGTATGAAGGCGGAGGCAGTAAAGGTGACACTGGTGCCCCTTCCCCCCCCCCCCCCCCACGGTGTTCCTGTTTTCACAGAATTCTATGGGAACGCAGCTAGAAATAGAGAGACTGACAGCAGCTAAATCATGTGATCTGCACACAATAGTATCCTCCTAAGCTACATTCTGCAAATTGCATGCTTGCCGAAATGCACAAAAAAGCGACGAACAGAAATGCAGCGAAAAACAGCCGAACGATGGTGCCAATAATTCTGAATGGCACCCCATGCATCTGTTAATGTGTGCGATTTCGTGGAGCCGCAGCACATGCAGAAGGGGCAGGGACTTCCATTGCATGTTCCTTGTGCATAAGTAGCGTTCTGAAATTAAAGTGTCACTAAACCCACAACAGTACAATCAGTCTGTAGATGCAGTAAAGCATGCCTGTTATACTCACTGTGGGACCTAAGGGGTTCATCCTCTGCATTGTGTAAAAACGCTGCTTAATCCTGTCTTCTCTGATCCTCCCCTTCTTCTACTGTCCCCAATCCATCTGTTGATAGTACATCGCTCTAGGAGTCACTCTGCACATGCTCAATTTAGTATGTATTGCTAGAGAGTTTTATCAGCACAGGGCCAATCAGCACTGTCCAGATAGAGGTCAGAGGTTTTGCATCCTCCTAGAGCAAAATGAAAACTTATCCTACAAGCTGTAACCTGTGCTTTGCTAGACACTGATAGATGTCACAAGACTGCTATATACTGCTGATGAGAAAAGGACCCTGCATTCACTATATCTGCTCTCCCCGGACCCTGCATTCACTATATCTGCTCTCCCCGGACCCTGCATTCACTATATCTGCTCTCCCCGGACCCTGCATTCACTATATCTGGTCTCCCCAGACCCTGCATTCACTATATCTGGTCTCCCCGGACCCTGCATTCACTATATCTGGTCTCCCCGGACCCTGCATTCACTATATCCCCTCTCCCAGGACTCCGCATTCACTATATCCGCTCTCCCTGGACCCTGCATTCACTATATCCGCTCTCCCTAGACCCTGCATTCACTATATCTGGTCTCCCTGGACCCTGCATTCACTATATCTGCTCTCCCCGGACCCTGCATTCACTATATCTGGTCTCCCCGGACCCTGCATTCACTATATCTGGTCTCCCCAGACCCTGCATTCACTATATCTGCTCTCCCCGGACCCTGCATTCACTATATCCGGTCTCCCCTGGACCCTGCATTCACTATATCCGGTCTCCCCTGGACCCTGCATTCACTATATCCGCTCTCCCCAGACCCTGCATTCACTATATCCGCTCTCCCCGGACCCCACATTCACTATATCTGGTCTCCCAGGACTCCGCATTCACTATATCCGCTCTCCCAGGACCCTGCATTCACTATATCCGGTCTCCCCGGACCCTGCATTCACTATATCTTGTCTCCCACAGTGCACACAACATGGAAATGCAATTACTTTAGTAAATATAATCTGCTAAATACCTTTTCTCATCAGCAGTATTTAGCAGTCTTGTGACTTCTATCAGTGTTCAGCAGAGCACTGGTTAGAGCTTGTAGGAGAAGTTTTCATTCTCCCCTGATTATCCTATGGGGCTGCATGACCCTTGACCCTCTGTCTTGGCCCTGTGCTGATCACATGCCCTCTCCCAAGAGGAAAAAAAAACATCTCTAGCAATACACACCAAATGGAGCATGTGCAGCTTGCCCCCAAGGCTCTGTTCTATCAGCAGATGGATTGGGGACAGTAGAAGGGGAGGATCAGATAAGACAGGATCAGACAGCTTTTTTACACAATGCAGAGGAGTAACCCCTTAGGTTGCACAGTGAGTATAACAAGCATGCTTTCCTGCATCTACAGACTGATTGTACTGTTGTGGGTTTAGTGACACTTTATTGTAATGCCCATTAAAATGTGACGTAGCACCGTTCTCACATGTGCATTAACCCGAGGTACAAATGTAAATGGGAAAATGATAAAGAAAACCAGATGAGGTCTTTTTTTTTTTTTTAAACCTGACAAGGTCCCTGTCAATCAGTAAACAGGGATACAGAAAGGGGAGGATGACTATATACAAATATATTTTATTGATTTATTTATTTTTAATTTTAAAATTCAAAGACAAAAAAATTATTATAAAAATAAAATAAAATCTATTTTTGGCCCCTTGGAAGATCTGATCTTTGCCATTTGATGCCATTTTCAATCCTCCCTGGCAAGCTGCCTAGCAAAGGACCACTATTAATAGGGATCTGTTAATGTGGAGCTCCATGGGGGAAGCCGTATCGCCTCTTATATTTCGACGTGAACTCTCCCGGGTCGAAGAAAGAAATATTTACATTTAAAAGGCTTTTTTAAAAGGATTTCTAGGTGTTAATATGGCGAGCTGGGCCAGTCTGTACCCTCTGACCATCCACAGTACTTAGAGCTGTTCCCATCAGGTCCTCTGTAGAGGAGCTTACACTCTACTGCCTCTGCCACCAGAGATACCAAGCAGAACTATTTCACCAGTGTGTTTGTGGCCTGTGGGAGAAAACTGACACCTAAAGGCAGACACCGCGCACAAGAGCCGTGTGTCCATTTCTGGCCAGCTCGCCCCTATGCGGCTCACTTGCATTCCTAACGAACTACAGGTCACAGCTGGTTCCACTGGCGCGGCGGAACGTGCAGCTCCTCAATGGGCGCACTGTTGCCGATGACCTCAAGTCTCATTTCCTATTCATCATGTCATTAGCTGCCCGTCTCGACCTCTAACCCCAAATCCTGCCATCTGCTGGCGCAATTTATTAAACATTCGTCCATATAGTGGCATCAATGGTGGGTTTGGTATGGACCATCCCGGACAACTGTTTGCCTGGGTGCGTGTGCTCGGCATGGAAACCAAAACACGGTAATTGCATGAATGGTTGATTAGAACAGCTGGAAAGGTTTATGAAATTACTGTGAGACTAGTACGAGGAGAGGTCTGATGACATATTGCCATATGCTAAGATGATCAAATTTAAGGATATTGAAGGATGAAAATGGAGGATATCACGTTTCAGCATGAGACACTGACTAACTTTTGGTCTTGAGTATTTGTGTATATTGCCTTAAAAAATGATACAACAGCTAAAAAATTATCATATGTAATTATTTCCCATTATGTACAGGATCTGGTGTGCCCAAAACAACCCTATGCCTTACCCTATGTTTGGTCTATATAAAACTGCCCATAAGCCCCCAAAGTCATACAACCATTAAAAAATAGTCATTTCCTGCTATACAGGTTCGAGTGTTCCCTCTGTAACAGCCCTAAGCCCAATCACCATCTGGTCTGCACCAAAATCCCCATAGCTACAAACTTGGTGTGGAACTAGAAGCCACCAAAGTCATCCAACCCTTAAAAAATAGTCGCTTCCCACCATGTACAGGTTTGAGTGTTCCTTCTGTAACAGCCCTAAATCCAATCACCATCTGAACTATACCAATATGCCCAGAGCTTCAAAAATGGTGTAGAACTAGAAGCCACCAAAGTCATCCAACTCTTATAAAATTGTCGCTTCCCACCATGTACAGGTTTCAGAGTCTCCACTTAAGAAAAACCCTAAGCCCCAGTCACTGTCCGATCAACATCAAATTGTCCATAGCTCTAAACCTGTTGTAGAACTACAAGCCTCCAAAGCTATACAACCATTAAAAAATTGTAATTTCCCACTATGTACAGGTTTGAGTGTTCCCTCTGTAACAGCCCTAAGTCCAGTCACCATCTGTTCTATACCAAAATGCCCATAGCTACAAACTTGGTGTGGAACTAGAAGCCACCAAAGTCATCCAACTCCTATAAAATAGTCACTTCCCACCATGTACAGGTTTGAGTGTTCCCTCTGAAACAACCCTAAACTCAGTCACCATCTGAACTATACCAATATGCCCATAGCTTCAGAAATGGTGTAGAACTAGAAGCCACCAAAGTCATCCAACTCCTATAAAATAGTCGCTTCCCACCATGTACAGGTTTCAGAGTCTCCACTTAAGAAAAACCCTAATCCCCAGTCACTGTCCGATCAACATCAAATTCAGGGGCGGACTGACCATAGGAAACTCGGGCACTACCCGAGGGCCTGGGGTCAGTAGAGGGCCCCATGAGATGCCCCTGGTACCTTTTTCATAGGCTTATTTGAGTTTGGGCAAGGACACAGGGACCCCATGATCCCCTATTGCCCGGGGGCCCCATGAGTTGTCAGTCCGCCCTTGATCAAATTGTCCATAGCTCTAAACCTGTTGTAGAACTACAAGCTTCCAAAGCTATACAACCATTAAAAAATAGTCATTTACCACAACATACAGGTTTGAGTGTTCCCTCTGTAACAGCCCTAAGTCCAGTCACCATCTGTTCTATACCAAAATGCCCATAGTTACAAACTTGGTGTGGAACTAGAAGCCACCAAAGTCATCCAACTCTTATAAAATAGTCACTTCCCACCATGTACAGGTTTGAGTGTTCCCTCTGAAACAACCCTAAACTCAGTCACTATCTGAACTCTACCAATATGCCCATAGCTTCAGAAATGGTGTAGAACTAGAAGCCACCAAAGTCATCCAACTCCTATAAAATAGTCGCTTCCCACCACGTACAGGTTTCAGAGTCTCCACTTAAGAAAAACCCTAAGCCCCAGTCACTGTCCGATCAACATCAAATTGTCCATAGCTCTAAACCTGTTGTGGAACTACAAGCTTCCAAAGCTATACAACCATTAAAAATTAATCATATCCCACTATGAGTTTGAGTGTTCCCTCTGAAACAACCCTAAACTCAGTCACCATCTGAACTATACCAATAAAACCATAGCTTTGAAAATGTAGAACTACAAACCACCAAAGTCATCCAACACTTAAAAAATAGTCGCTTCCCACCATGTACTAAGCACCATCACTGTCAGATCTACATCAAATTGTCCATAGCTCCAAACCTTGTGTGGAACTACAAGCTCTTAAAGTCATCCAACCCTTAAAAAATAGTTGTTTCCATTATGTGCAGTTTCGGGGGTTCCCCTCTCAACCGCCCAAAACCCTATCACCATCCAAACTATACCAAACTGACCATAGTGTCAAAACTGGTGGGGAACTACAAGCCTCCAAAGCTATACAACCATTAATAAAATAGTTGTTTCCCCAATGTACAGGTTCTGGTGTTCACTCTGTAACAGTTCTATGCCCATAGCTCCAAACTTGTTGTGGGACTGCAAGCCACCAGTCATCCAACCCTTACAAATTGTCGCTTCCCACCATGTACAGGTTTCGGAGTCTTCTCTTAAGAATAACCCTAAGCCCCAGTCACTGTTCAATCAACACCAAATTGTCCAAAGTTCCAAACCTGGTGTGGAACTACAAGCCCTTAAAGTCATCCAACCCTTAAAAGATAATTTCCATCATGTACATTTTCGGGGATTCCCCCTGCAACAACCCCAAGCCCTATCACCATCCAAACTATACTTAACTGCCTGTACCGTCAAAACTGGAGTGGAACTACAAGCCTCCAAAGCTATACAACCATTAAAAATAGTTGTTCCCCACCAAATAAAGGTCCCAATGTCTCTTCTAGAAACCCCAAATCCAACCACCGATCTGATCTACACCAAACTGCCCCAAGATCCAAGCCTGGTATGGACCTACAAATTTCCAAAGCTATACAACCATTACAAATAGTTGTTCCCTACTAAATAAAGGTTCCAATGTCTCTTCTAGAAACCCCAAATCCAACCACCGATCTGATCTACACCAAACTGCCCCAAGATCCAAGCCTGGTATGGAACGACAAGCCTCCAAAGTCATACAGCCATTAAAAAGTAAATTTCCACCATGTGGAGGAGATCTGGTATCTCCTCTAAAAAAATACTAAACCCAATCAATGTCTGATTTATATCAAATTGCCCAGAGATCCAAGCCTGGTGTGGAACTACCAGCCTCCAAAGTTATATGACAATGAAAAAAGTTTCCCACTATCTACAGATTCTGGTGTCTCAACCCAAAACCTAACCAACATCTGCTCTATACAAAACTACCCACAGCCACTAAATTTGCATGTACGAACTACAAGCCGCAACAGGGATTTATGGCTCCAGAAAAGCCGTCAAACTGATGTGGCCAAATCTAGATGACCAAAATTAGTATTGATGGATGTCTCTAGCGGTTTCTGAAAACTGACACCCAGGGCATTTCGTGCAGAGAATACCACTTATCAAACTGCACATCAAATTTACCCAGTCGAAACCATTTCATGTCTTAGAACACCAAGACGCTCGTCTTACCTTCAAAATCAGAGAGGATCCCTTCCAAGTGATCGTTGACGGACAAGTGCGTCATCTTCACTTTCTTTTGTGGCGGTCGCGAAAGCCCCTCTTCGGTCAAGGTTTAGAGTAGGGGCCAAACTAGGCAGAACTCCCACATGG